AGATGAACTATACTTGCATTTGACTAGATCATATTTAACTATTAATTGATAATTGATAAAGGCACAATTTTTTATAATTAAATTAACGATGCATGGGATCATTTCAAAATTGGAATTGATTTTAATCTCCTCGATCGTCCTTCTTATAAACCACGCCATTTTGCAGCCACAGGCAAATCTATTCGATTAATTTGGTACTCCTATCAATTTAATAACGATCGCTGTACCCCATAAAAATGAATTACACTCGCATTGGACTGAGATTATATTTAACTGCTAATTGCTAATATTGCCAATTTAAATTTCAATAAAAGGACGCGCAGTTTCTTATAATTAAATCATAGCGTATAGGATTAATCCAAAGTTGGAATTGATTTCAATCGCCTCGATCGTCCATCTTTTAAACGGTAGCAATTTCTGATCGACTGGATAATTTTGCCAAATCCATCCAACCAATCTGATATCCTTATCTACTTAATAACGATCGAGAGTAATACGCGCGTTATATACGATATCTTTTTCGTCCATAAAGTTCTCAATGGTCTCGTAGAATGTTCTGCTATCTTAGCAAGAAAAATTTTACTCGACTGCTTCTACATTCCGCCGAACAAATCCCAGGAATTCCACCACGTTCGTATGCATACGCTTGTATTTGGTTAGCACACCGACTACAACCGTGCGATTATCAACGTGAATGACGCTTACTCGCCCATTGACTTTCCCCATCAATCACCTTGCTCGTTTAAACAATCCCTACCCGGTAAATCTCGCTTTATCCCGCAATAATATTAAATTCCTACATCTTTTTACTTTCCGTTATCTCGTGCCGATAATTTAATAGCTAAATAAATCTTCGTCACAAATCTAAGCGTGACGCGTTCGCGTCAGCGTCGCACGAACTTTACACGCGTAAACGTTACCCCGAGTGAGCACCGGTCCTCATAAGCTTCCGTGAGTGACCGATTTTCCCGAATCGGTCGAAAAACCGTGTTTGTATCCTACCTTTAACCACAGCGATCGGCAAGAAATCGAAACGCGACACAGCGAGCGTCGAACGTTTTAATCGGACAAAGAAAAACGCCGCGAATTTTTCGCCGTTTCGCCGATTCCATTGAAAACCGGTTACGGCCACTACTGTGTGTACCTTTTTTAAAGTCCCGCGATCGGTTCGCGTTAGCCGCGCGCACGCTGAGCCAACGCTTTGCACCGTTACTCCCGTGCAATTTGTTCACGCATTATTATCGAATTAGCTTCTTGCACACGGTTCGTTAGCGTATCCTAACGTGAAAAAGCCTAATTCCGATCGAACGCGCGCGGACCACGATATCATCCTCCCTTGTCCACTCGCGGCGGGAATGCCTCGTTGATGGCTCCTCGTTTGGGCCCGGGGAATGTCCGATAGAGTAACGGTCTGTCCAAGGTTTAGAACTCGAGGCTCGCGACTCCAGTCGGATGCCTGGAACGAGCATTTTCCAGGAATCGGTGGGATAATTGGTGGTCCTTGAAGATTCGGGGATACGTTCCTGGAATTGGGGTTGTCGAGGATTCTGGGGGTAAAGGTCTGTGAATGTTTCCACGTTGCACGTCGTAGGTGGTATCCGTGGAATTTATGGCTCTGCTTTAGAAATTTCTTCTCTAGCTTGACTTGGTTTAGGGTAGCTTTCAGCTTTCGTCCACGAAAAATTGAAATTTCCACGAAATTTTTGGTAAAAATTCCTTTCTTTGTTTTTTTTTTTTTTTAGTGGAATTGTAGAACTTTTAATAAAAATTTGTAGTAAATCGTTTATGGATATCAATATGTCGAGGAAAAGTATTTGATCCAGATTCTTCTTTATATACTCAATACTCAACTCTTTCTGGATATAAGCTACTTTTTATTTTTTTAGAGAAATAGTAGTATTTTTAATAGAAATTCATAGTAAATCGTTTATGGATATCAATATGTAGGGGAAAAGTATTTGATCCAGATTCTTCTTTATATACTCAATACTCAATACTCAACTCTTTCTGGATATAAGCTACTTTTTATTTCTTTAGAGAAATAGTAGTATTTTTAATAGAAATTCATAGTAAATCGTTTATGGATATCAATATATAGGGGAAAAGTATTTGATCCAGATTCTTCTTTAAGAATACCGATACTCAATACTTAACTTTTTCTGAATACAATCTACTTATTATTCTTTTAGTGGAGTAGTAGAATTTTTAATAAAAATTCATAGTGAATCGTAAAAATTTATCGATATCACTATATCGTGGAAAAGTATCTGCTCCAGATTCTTCTTTGGGAATATGGATAGCATAACTTTTTCTGGATATAATCTACTTTTTATTCTTTTAGTGGAATAGTATAATTTTTAATAAAAATTCATAGTGAATCGTAAAAATTTATCGATATCACTATATCGTGGAAAAGTATCTGATCCAGATTCTTCTTTGGGAATATGGATAGTTCAACTTTTTCTGGATATAATCTACTTTTTATTTATAATTGGTTATAGTACCGAATGCATTGAGTAGATCTTTCAGAGAATATCGTAGATAACGAACGTTCTTACCTTTCGAGTATGTTCAGAATCCCAAATCACGAACACCGTGTAAACTTTCGAATTCTGTAAACTGGAAAGTCTCTTGCATTTCGAGGTTTCGAGGTTTCGACGTTTCGCGAAACTCAGCCTCGATTTTTATTCCGCGTCGAAGACGATGCTTCTTGTTCGACGAGCATCTTCTTCGTTCGATCGATTAGAGAAATATGAAATAAATCTGACAGGGGGGCAACGCAAAGCGTGTAATCAACTGCATAAACAGCAACCTCCATCGAGGCGCCGGTTATCGGTCAATATTATTTCTCGCAAGGTGGATTCATCCATCAGCATTATCTCGAATGGACGTAATGATTTTGAGCAAACACGATCGACACGTCAATACGGAAATTCAGCATTAAACGGTGAATCAGCGACTGGAAAGGTTAAGCAACGCGTACGGGGAACGAGGGATCCGGCGTACGAGATTTATAAGGGTCTAACTAGCACAGTTAGCTTCGATTCCAAAGGATTCGCCTGGTGTGATTACGTTTCCCGTTCGTTGCGTAATTGCGTGTGCACAATCTTGGAGAAAATCTACCGGTTCTCCACGCCGCGTGCTCCGTGATCTCTGCTCTCCCGTCTGATCCGTAGATTTCATTTAGATTGGCGTCCAACGACCAGGAACCCGTTGCCGAGTTCCACCGGTGATCCACGAGATTTATGTCGAACCTCGATTGCCGAAAGATATCCGCTAATATCCACTCGAGAGATCCAGTCGATTCGTGGACAACCAGCACTTCCCCAATTTCTTTTCGATTAACCGATCGTCCTTTAAAATTTCACCCTCGTTCTTCGGGAAATTAATTCAAATAACATCACAGCTTCCATTTTATTCGCGATTCTTGCGAAAAATAGATTCTCGACATCTTATCTTAGAAATGAGATGACCTGTGAAAGCTTGGTATATGGTATCGTAGAAATGAGACGAAGCTTTTAAACTCGAAATTGAATAGGTCTATCGTTCGAGACAGATATAAAATTTCACCCTCGTTATTCGGGAAATTAATTCGAATAATATCGAAGCTTCCATTTTATTCGTGATTTTTGCAAAGAATAGGTCCTCGACATCGTATCGTAGAGATGAGACGAGTCGAGCTGGGAAAGCTTGGAAGCTTGGAAGCTTTTAAACCGGAAATTGAATAGGTCCATCACTCGGGACAGATATAAAATTTCCTCCGCGTTATACAGAAAATTAATTCGAATATTATCCAAGCTTCCATTCTATTCGCGATTTTTGCGAAAAATAGATTCTCGACATCTTATCGTAGAAATGAGATGACCTGTGAAAGCTTGGAATATGGTATCGTAGAAATGAGACGAAGCTTTTAAACTCGAAATTGAATAGGTCTATCGTTCGAGACAGATATAAAATTTCACCCTCGTTATTCGGGCAATTAATTCGAATAATATCGAAGCTTCCATTTTATTCGTGATTTTTGCAAAGAATTGGTCCTCGACATCGTATCGTAGAAATGAGACGAGCTGTGGAAGCTTGGAAGCTTTTAAACTCGAAATTGAATAGGTCCATCACTCGTGACAGATAAGAATTCGCATAGAATCTACCCCTTTGTTTCTGCCTTGACAGAACGTTATCTACCCTGACGCAAGAACGACGTGGAAGCGGTGGCTGGGAGAAAACTGTTATTAGCATAGTAATGGCGGTTAGATTTCGATGGCGGGTCGATAGAAACGCGGATAAACGAGCGAGATAAGCCTGGTTCTCGCCTGGTCGTGGACGCGAACCGGGTCCGGGTTATTAATTAGTCGGCAGTCAATTAACCAGTCGTTCGTCTGGCCTTGCCAGCGTCCAGCTGAAAAAGTAGATTATCGGTGTAGCCGGCGACGTACGTTTTTGATAACGCGACCAGCGCGATGGTAGAAGCCCGGAAACGCATTTCTGTTGCTGCTCGATCACGACCATTAGACGCTAGCCTGTCATTATCCTCTCGTAACGGGAGGCGCAGGATGACTCTATCGAATGGAGCAGAAAATGGTGAACGGTTCTGGAAAGAGAGGGCAAGCTGCGAGACATCGCTGCCTCCTTGACCCAGCCACGCGTCAGGAGGATCAAGCCTAGAACCTCCGAGCCCACTCGGGACGTCGTGGATGCGGCGAATGCGGCTTACCAGGACAAATTCGTGAGTATCCAATTTATACGAATGTTTTCCTCTGATTAGCTCAGACGACCCACGTCTCTAGGTTCGATCGAACGAAACGCATCTCGCCAGTCCTCTCGAGTTAGCGATCCAATAGACAATTAAGCCTCCGTGACTGCGAACTCTCGTATCCCCGTGTACACCTTTCACGAGCAGTCAGAGTAACAGCAATTGCTTGATAATGTCGTACAGATCAGAGGTGATCCAGACGGATGCGGCCTTGACATCTCCGGCATTAGATACTCCCCTACCTCCGAACTGAGGGTCGACCTGCCCGCCGAGGATCTGTTGAACATCAAGAAAGGCTGGCTAATGAAACAGGGATTGAACAAGGTTCGTCTTTCGCGTGATAATTCCAGCTCGGTAGCCTCGGCGAGAGTCGATATGTATGCAACGAATGGTGTATTCCTCAGGAATGGAACAAGCATTGGTTCGTGCTGCGCGGCTGCGGTCTCATGTACTACCGAGATCCCTGCGCGGAAGATAAGGGTATCATGGACGGCGTCATAGATCTGAATACCGTTACTGCCGTCACGCCCCTTTTAGTCGCAAGAAATTATGGATTCCAGACTGTGGTGAGTGTGACCGGCGGATTTGCACGCGGTGATTTACGGTAATTAACATTCCGCGCGAACGAACCAACGAATGAACGAATGAGCGAACGGAGATCCAGTTAGACCTTACGGAGCCGCAATTTTCTTCCCTCCTGTCCCTTCTCGCCTAATCGGATACAATGCAAAACGAGTCGGTTTACATTGTCTACCGGCTGGACCGGTGTCTAAACTTCCGTCTGCTTCGCTGCACGTGCAAATAGGAAAGCATCAGCGTTCCAGAATCCTCCACGAGGACTATAGTTAGCCGTGAATCTCCCGGGGGCTTGCTGGTCAATTGGATTGCCGGAATTAACTTCCGTGCTCGGGATGGGAGTGGCTGGAAAAAGTCGGTAACTCAATTTCACGCTAGAACAGATCTCGGAACTCTTCGTTTATTCGTGTCACTGATTTCTGTCACCCGCTGTATCCCGCTGCTTGTCCCACATAGACGATAACCTCTCTGCTTTCTTCTTGCCCCGTTTATTCCATCGTTTACCTTCTTTTCTTTCTCGCGCCATCTCAAGGCCTGGGACGATCGAGGAACTACCGTCTTGTCCGCGGTCACCGCTGGTATACGGGCCAGTTGGATGTCGGCCATTCGGAGGGCTGCCAATTTACCAGACCCGGACAGTAGCAGTGATTCTCTCACCGTTTGTCAGGATGGCCAGCCAGATACCACTCCGCAATCACCCACTGCGTAAGTGTAGCAAAGCATAGTCCTTTCGATAAGATTCCCAGTTAACAGGATACTTAGTTGACACAGGATTGAAAGGAAAATTGATATCGTTGTGTCACTCAGCTGTGCTGACATCCATCAGATTTCGAATCGAACGACCGATAGCGTTAGGGTGTTTACGAATTGGTATAGACCTGGAAGGCACGTTTGGATTCACTTAAAGTCCCCTGTCTGATTTTAGATCCATCACGGACCGCGAAAGAGACTCGGTGGTTCCCTCGACCTCTGTCACGCCACGCTCAGTGCTGTTCTCCTCGGACGAGGAATATCGAACAGCGTCAGAGGGTGGCAGGAGAGAGTCAGGCGACTGGTCCGAAGTGCCCGTGTCACCACCTCTGGTGAGAAACGGCGACTGGCCCAGCGGATTGAAGGGTTCCAGCTGGTCAGACTCGGCGAACCACGAATGGTCGGAATTACCACCGTCGCCGCCGTTAACCAGAACGGCGCTGTCGCGAGTGAAAGCTCGGTCCAGATCAAGCTCCAGGTCTAGAGTGTACAAAAGAAGCTGCAGCTCGCCTTTGAGTTCAAGGAGGAGCACTTTGGACAGCGTGAGGTCAGAGGATCTAATGATGGCTTGCTGCGAACTCGGAGAAGACGAGGAGCAGCACAACGGGCACATGCAGAGCAACAGTTGTCTCTCGAGCGCCAACGAGAGCCCGCTAATCGTGGAATTGCTGGAGAGCCAGGTATCCCTGCTGCGTGATCAGCTGGATCAGAATCAGTCCCACCCAAGCACGCTACTAGTCATTATCGAGCGTCAGGAGAGCGAAATCGAGAGCTTGAAGTCGCAGCTGAACACGGCGAAAGCGGACGTTGCCAGCGCCGAGAAAGAGCTGTCTAGGTTGAGGCAGCAGAAGGCGGAAGCTTCCATCAGAGAGAAGCAGGTGGACGAGCTGTTGAACACGATTCAGAGAACGGAGCAGCAGAGGAACAAGGATTTGGAGGACCTGGAGAAGATGAAGAAGATGTACAACAGGGACAAAGAGATGTTGGAGTGTAAGTTACTGGAGACGGAGGCTATTCTCAGGGAGACCAGTGAGCGGTGTGAGATGCTTACCAAAGAGTTGGCATCGAGTCATAGAACTGTTGAACATCTGCAATCGGAGATAGCTTCTTTGAGTAACAGACTGTCTCAAGGTACGTTGATCGAATAAAATCCTTACGTGATTAATTGGGTCATTTATCGTGTCGTCGCTGATTTAGGGATAGACGAAAACGAGCGTTTATATAGCAAAGTCAGAGAGTTGGAAGACAAAGGAGGATTGTCCGCTGCGAGGGAGCGTGGGCGGAGTTTCGATTCTCTCAGCGATTTGACGAATATCGAATTAGATCTGGACCTGAATTCGCTCGACAAGGAAAGGTAAGGCATATACTCGACCGGTAAGTGTGGCGCAAAGATGTAGGAACGAGATCGAGATACATCGTTAACGTTTCTCGTTTTTAGAATCGTGGAAGAGTACGACGAACTCCGAAGCCGCTTCGAGAAAGCTATCCTGGAGATACGCGCGATGCGCAAGGAACTTCGCGAAGCGCATGCGATACAGGACGCACTGGAACTAGAAATCTTCGCTCATAAGCAGGATGCAGCTAGTGTCAGCGAGACGAACCAGGCCCAGATACAGTTAATGGCAGCCAGGATCCAAGACTTGACGAACAAGCTTGCGGCCAGCGAAAAACAAGTAAGGACGCTGAAACAGAAGCTAACAAAAGTCGAAACCAGGGATAAGAGGAGATCGCTATCATTGAAGGGCCGTGAGTCTTTTCAAATCTCCCAAGAGATGGAGGACAAGCTGCTGGATCTGGAGAACAAGATCTGTGCTATAGAACGCGGGAAGAGCATCAGCACCCCCGTGTCGACTGGAAGCAGCTCGAAGGAGTCGAGTCCGAATCCAAAGAAGGAGAAGAGGAGGGATGGCAAGAGTCTGGATCGTTCTAGATTAAGAAGAAAATCGCTGGACAGTGCAACCAGCTCCGAACCGATGAAGGTATTGATCAGACTGAGTACGTTGGAGACGAAAGTGGCGAACGTGGCGGAAAATATGGCGAGCGACGCCGAGAAGGACTCCAGCGAGTGTAGCGAGATCAGTGCGTCTTCTACCAGCGAAGTTTCGTTAGAGATCATCGCGAGGTTAAGGAAATTAGAGAGGGTGGTGTCAAAGTCGAAGAGAAGGCTGGAGAAATGTTTAGGTTCGACGCAAGCGGAGGATAAAGCGGAGAAGTGTTTACGCGAGGTAAACGACATCCTGGACTCGTGCTTAGAATGTAAGAAAACCCAAGCTAGCGCTCAAGTGACCGAGTCAGTAGGCGTAGTGGTATCTAGACTAGAGACTATACTTAAAGATAAATTGAGCGAACTCACGAAGAGACGGCAGACGCTGGAGCAGAACGGCCAGCTGGACGATCGGGAGAAGATGAAGCTGATCGCGGAGAGGGTGGCGTTCGAGTTTGTCGTTCTGAGACAGGTCAAGTGCGCGGTCGGCCGGTCATTCGACCGGAGTGCCGTTCTCAGTGAATTGGTCGAAACTAGTCAGCTTGCCTCAAGCTTAATGCGTAAGATTCACGGAACTAAGCCCAAAACGTACCAAAACACCAGTTACATTCAGTATCTTACTAGAGTGTTAGCTAATAAGTTAGTACTAGTAGGTGGCGTGGCCGCGACGGAAACCACGACTAAAGAGGTGTCCGCAGCTCGTAGCGAGAGCTTAAATTTTTTGCTACAGAAACAACGCGAGATGAACGAAGTCGTTCGTAGATACAAAGAGACGAAATTGAGGCAGCTCGCGGAAGCTCTGGCCGCGGAGACGCTGAGCATGTCCGAGCAGGAAGATTCGAACAAACAGCAAGTGATGAATTCGAGCAGAAAGTTACTGGAAGATCGACGAATTCGAGAGGCATGGGCATTGGCTCAGGAAACGGTGAGCAAAGAGTTGGTACAGGCGGAAGTGTCTCACGTGATCATGCGATGTGGTCAGACGTACGAGCAGAACATCACGAGCATCACCGATGCCTGCCTCAATTTCGACAACACGGAGAGCATAACGTTGGAATCTTGGATCGATGCGGCGCAGGCTAGGCTGCGCCAGGAGATGGAACTATCCACTCACGAACTGTCCGACGTGTATGAGGAATGTCTTCGTCAGTTGAAGAAGAACAAGTCGACGATGGTCGAATCGAAATACGAGTCCCGACAGCTGTTAACGGACTACGCGGACGTGATCGCGCACAAAGCTTTAATAGACGCCAGAATCGGGCTTCTTCAGGAGAACACGAGACAGTTGACGACCTTCCCTGGAGAGACTTTCGTATCTAGTCTAATCCGAAACGACGACGTTCTTTCGAGTCTGCTAACAGCAGACGATCACGAGTTCCAAAGCAATCCGATTCTCGACGCGGAGTACAGTTACCTTTATCAGCAGTTTAGCAAGGACTGCGAGGACAGGATATCAGGCTCGAAGCGTACCTCGAAGGAGCAGATGAAGAACGTCGGCCAGAGTTTGCTCTACCTAGAGGAGGACTTGGTGGAGCTGGGCAAACGCGTTCGAGAGAGATTATGCGAGAATAGCGAGAACACGGCGTGGCCGTCGAAGTCATCGTCAGTCATCGCGGACTGGTCTAGCGTGTGTGAAAAATGCTCGCAGCTGCGCGAGCAGATCAAGAAGCTGAGCGACCACATGAATAGCGTGACTTGCAAACAGTGCGACCAATTGCAGGAAACCATTCAGAGGATAACGGTGGAGCACAATAAAGAATTGGAAACGTTGAAGCGCAACCAGGAGAGGGACTTGATGGACATCAAGGGTGAACTAGACAGTCAGCGGCAATCTTTAACCTCTCAGTACGAACTGGAAGCGGCCAGTTTACGAGAAAAGGCTAGAAAATTGGAACACAGACTGAACGCCATGGATTCCGAGCACTCTGCTCACGTGAACGAACTTAGAGCCGCTTATCAACGATCGATGAGCGCGGAATTGGACACAGACGCGGAAACACGGAAGAGGTACAAGGAAGAGATCAAGCAGCTGCGAGCGTTGTGCGAGAAGGGTCTGCTCGCCATGGAGAACTCTCACAGACGCACCATTTCCGAAATGGAGGAGAAACACCGTCAGGAATTGGAGAATTTGAGGGTGGAAAAGGAACAGGCGCTATCGGAAG